AGTGATTTAATTAATAATTTCTGAGTGATTATTTCGGGTCTAAGCTAGCTGTGTGGCTGGGAGCCAACAAGCAACCTCTCTCCAACATTGATGGAAAGACCTTGCTGACCAGAATCTTGAACTACAGAAAAAGGGTTGTGGGGGTGTCTGTGGTCCAGGTTACCCAAAGTCTAGCTATGGTCAGCCCTGTGTAAGGTGAGGGTTTATAGTTCCAGAGGCCTCAGAGCTGCAGGGATAGGTTCTAGCTTCCTGATATGGCAAGAACTCTGCAGCTGTGGAAAACAAAACCCATCTTAACATATCCACAGGTGTCTGCATAGGAGCTGGAGAGATGGCTCTGTGGTTTGCAGCACTGCTGCTCCTCCAGAGGTCCCTGGTTCGGCTTACAACTGCTGTAACTCCAGTTTCAAGAAATCTGTTGCCCCCTTCTGGTCTCCAAGAGCACCAGGAATGTCTACATACATGCAGGGAAAATACTCATACACATAAAATAAAAATATATAAGTATTTTTTAAAAAGTGTACAAGGCAGGGCGGGTAACTAATCAGAGAAGCACTTCATGGTGGTGTGTATCCAAACCACCATGTCAAGAACCATTAAGTCCAGGGTTCTGGGGATTGAATAGGCTTGCAACCACTTTTACCAGTGAACCATCTAACCAGTCCATTATTTTTGTTTTTCTTTGCAGTGCTGGGATTGGAGCTCAGACCCTAGGGTATGCAAACCAAGTGTTCCACCACTAAGAGCCCCACTCATTACCTCCTTAAACACAGGGCAGGAGGATGGGCTGGGGACTTAGTCAAAAAGCCACAAGTTAGAATGCCCAGCACTGCCTGAATTCAAGTGGCATGCAGTCACTGTCTATTTGTGGTCATCGATACCAACTTTCTTTACTACCGTAAAATTCAGTTTTCTCCTCAAAATTAAAAACAATTGTTTTGCTTGGCTAACAACTTATAAAAGCTTATTTGGGTAAAAGAAGTATTTCCATAAAAGGAATGAGAACATTTGTAAGAAACAGAGAAGCAAGGGGTTGGAAAGAAGGCTGTGTTTGAAAATTCACTGGCCACAAAGCCTACAGAAAGGAGTTTGGATCTCAGAACTCACATAAAACCTGGGCATAGTAATGCAGTTGTCTGGAATCTTTTATATATATATTATGTATACAATATTCTGCGTGTATGCCTGCAGTCCAGAAGAGGGCACCAGACCTCATTACAGATGACTGTGAGCCACCATGTGGTTGCTGGGAATTGAACTCAGGACCTTTGGAAGAGCAGGCAATGCTCTTAACCTCTGAGCCATCTCTCCAGCCCAGTTGTCTGGAATCTTGACTGTGGTTCTCCAGGAAGATGGGATGTGGAGACAGAAAAACCTCCAGAGGCCTGTAGGCCAATTAGCAGCAAGGAGATGTTGTCTCATGCAAGACAGAAGCTGGGAGTAGTGACCTCTCTAACCCCAGCACTGAAGAGTTAGAGGTAGGTGGGTTTTTGTGAGTTTAAGATGAGCCTGGTCTCTATAGGAAGTTCCAGGACAGCCAGAACTAAATAGTTTCTGTTTCAAAAGACCAAAAACAGAAACAAGTGCCAGGCAGTGGTGGCACACACCTTTAATTCTAGTACTAGGGAAGCAGAGGCAGGCAGATCTCTGTAAGTTCAAGACCAGCCTGGTCTACAGAGTGAGTTCCAGGTCAGGCTCCAAAGCTTGTCTCGAAAAGAGAGAGAGAGAGAGAGAGAGAGAGAGAGAGAGAGAGAGAGAGAGAGAGGAAAAAGAAAGAAAGAAAGAAAGAAAGAAAGAAAGAAAGAAAGAAAGAAAGAAAGAAAGAAAGACCCAGAAATGAAAAACCAAACAGTGGAAAGGCAGGGGCTGACACTGAAAGGTTGTCTGTTGCCCTTTACATGTGTCATGGCACCCACACCACCACACCACGGCCCCACACATTAGATAGGTAGATAGATGGACAGACCTAAGGGATAGAGAGGTATCCTGAGATGGGAGGCAAAGATAATGGAGAAGGCAGTCTAACTGACTGGCATTTGAGACACACAGTCTCAAAAGCCACCTGAGGCCACATCCCAGTTCATGACACTGTTTCTCCAGAATTCTGTAGAACGAATAATAAAAACTGAGAGACAGGTATTGGGGTTCAAGATGAAGATCAGAAAAGCAAAACAGCCAAGCAATGGTTTGTCCTGTCCCTTTAAGAGACAACCCCCCCTCCACTCCCCTCCCCACTCCCTGCTGAGGCTAGTAGGTCTTCTGCTTTCAGCCTGTGTCCTTTCCTTTCCTTCTGTCTCCCAAAGAGGTAGCTGCTGCCGTAACTCCTCTCCTTCCCTCTCCATTTCTCTCTCTCTCTGCCTCTCTGCTTTTCTCCTTTCCCTCTTCCCCCTTTTCTCTTTCCCCTCCATAACCCACTAAATATTCAACCTCACTCTGCATGGCGTGCCTATCCGTCTGTCTCTCACCTGCATGGCTGTAGCTCCTCGTGGGACTGGCTGCCCCACCGAGGTCTCTCATCTGCCGCGTGGCTCCCTGCCTGGGATCTGCTGCCCAGGGAACAGCGCATTTTACTTTTACTGTAACAGGCATGCTCATGGTTTACTGCAGAAAACAGAGACTCAAACATGAACTCATGTACAGGAAGGTAGATGAGACCTCTTTCTAGACTTACTTAGTACTCTATATGACCCTTAATATTATAACAAAAAGTTTAATACGTGTGTGTGTGTGTTATAAATCTTATACCTTAAGCTGCTAAAGGATCAATATAAAACCAAAGAATTATGAGATTAGTAGCAATAGCATACATAGTCCTTAATTTTTTTTTTCTGTCCCACATCAGGTGGCTCTTCTGACATGAGACAGAGATTTCGGATTTCACTTTAATAAACATGCTTGGGTTTAGAGAAGAAGAGAGCCACACTGTAACTCCAAAGCCAGCTTTAATCTTTAACAGGACTGGGACTACAAAAAGACCATTTGCGTTATATGTCTGTAGAGAACAGCAGAAACAAACATTTGGGAAGATTTACGAAATTTTATCCTGTTGGAAATGTGATATACGTTTACTCTTGAGACATTTTTTTTCTGGATGATTTGTCCAGTGGTCTTCAAATTCCTTAGCTGGGTACCTTTATTCTCCTCTACCAAGGCTGGGTAACTGCAGACCAAGCCCTGGGCCTCCTTTATTAAGGGACTAAAGCAATTAAAGGCATGTGACTTCCTAGGATTAAAGGTGTGAGCCGCCACCACCTGGATCTGTTTCTGCACTGATATTGTGTAGCCCAGGGTGGCTTTGAACTCACATCTGCCTGTCTCTGTATTCCTGGGATTAAAAGTGTGTGACACCATTGCCTGGCCTCTAGAGTCTGTTTCACCTCCTGATCTTCAGACAAGCTTTACTTATTAAAACATAAAATATCACTATATTTTTTTGCCCCATTTCCTATCTCTGAGCCCTGAGGAGGGGCACATAGAAGTTGTTTCTCTGGGCATGGTGGCACATATTTTTAATCTCAGCACTCTGGAGGCAGAGGCAAGAAGATCTCTGCAAATTTGAGGACAGTCTGGTCTATATAGTGAGTTCAAGGCCAGCTATGGTGTCAGAGTGAGAAAAAAATATTTCTGCAGTGGCACATAAAGTGGGAAATGGCAAACAACAACAACAAACAACCAGAGTTTTACCCTGTTATATTCTACATTGCGCAGTATACTGGTTGGTTTCCATGGACAGGGACAGGGACAGGGAAGCAATCAGCCCTCAGACTTTTGTTGTTGCTGTTTTGAAATAAGTTTTCTTTTCTTTCTTTTTTAGACAGGGTTTTTCTATGTAGCCCAAACTGGCCTCAAATGCAAGATCCTCCTGCCTCATCCTCCTGAGTGCACACGTGCATCATCCTCCTGCCTCATCTTCCTGAGTGCACGCGTGCATCATCCTCCTGCCTCATCCTCCTGAGTGCATGCATGCCCAGCTCTAGTGTTTTCTTTTTTAGGCTATTAAAGATTGTGCTGGTTAGTTTTTGTCAAACTGGGGGGAGGGAGCCACAGCTGAAGAACTGCCTCCATCACACTGGCCTGCGGTATTGGAGAGGGAGGGTCAAGGCCCCTGTAGGCAGAGCCAGCCCTGGGCTGTACAAGAAAGGCTGAACAAGTCATCGGCGGTGACTCTTCCACAGTTCCTGCCTCCAGGATCTTTCTTGAGTCCTGCCCTGACTTCCCTCGCTGATAAACTGCTACCTGGACGTAAGAGAAAATATACCCTTTCCTTTCCAAGTTGCTTTGATGGTGTTTTGATCCCACCGACACAGACTAACTAGGACAAATATACTGTCAGACATGATCGCTTACACCTGCATCCACTCAAGGGACAAAGGAAGGAGAACCAAGAATTAAGACCATCTTTGGAGTCATACCAAGTTTGAGGCCAGCCTAAGTCAAAAAAAGTTATTAAATATATATGATATGATAAGGATACAGACCAGAAATGTTTGTTTGCTTTCTTGCTTCCTTCTTGTGTGATGCTGGAATAACAACCAGGCCCTCTTTGCTGTAAGGAGCAGTATGCCACGGAGCTACGCCCCAGTTGTAGATCACAGTACTAAAGACTTTTTCCTTGCTTTTTTTTTTTTTTCTCTTTTTCTAAGACAGGTTTCTTTCTTTCTTTTTCTTGTTTTTCAAGACTGGGTTTCTTTGTAGCTTTGGGGCCTGTCCCAGAACTAGCTCTTGTAGACCAGGCTGGCCTGAAACTCACAGAGATCTGCCTGCTTCTGCCTCCCTAGTGCTGGAATTAAAAGTGTATGCTATAACGGCCTGGCCTTACTTAAGATTTTTAAATCAAGCTTTCCGGTTTTTTGTTTAAATTGTTTTTTTTTTTCTAGACAGGGTTTTTCTGTGTAGCCCTGGCTGTCCTGGAACTTGCTTTGTAGACCAGGGCGGCCTCAAACTCAAATCAGCCTGTCTTTGCCTCCAAAGTACAAGAACCAAGGGCGTGCACTACCGCATTCAGCTGTATTCTTGAGTTTTATTTATGTATATGCCACAGTTGCAAAAAAATCTTGGTGCACCTTAATAAGATAGATTAAATACAGTAGAATAAAAATAAATCAGGGTAAAGGTACATACAAAAGGCTAGAATGAAGCTGGTTAAATGTTTAAAATGATCACAAACTTGTCTTTGAGCTTCCTATTGGCCCAAACCAAAGGGGAAAAAAAACCATGACTACTTACAACTATTAGTTAGGGGCTTTGGTTTAAAGAGACCTAGTTTGGATCTCACTTCTACATGCTAGATGCCTGGCCCTGAGGACACTGCTCAACTTCTCAGAACTGTGGCTCATAACCCATGAGAGAAATCTTGGGAGTTCCAGGGTGGATTGGTGAGACCATAGGTCGAGGGGACTCCCAATACTGGGGGTGCTGGGAAGGCTCCTGAAGTCCGTTGTCCTCACTAAGTCTTGGTCCCAGTTGTCTCAGGAATACCCCTGCCCAGGCTTAGGGAAGAGCAGCATGGAAGAGGCAGGCTCCCCATTCCCTGTACCTGACACACAGTGCCCTGCATCGCACCACAAAGGTTCTCTGATGCAGTAGGGAGAATAGTTCCCTACAGGACCCCACAGCTGTTCCTGCCTTTCGTGCTGCCCCAAGGTGGAGGTTGTCCCCCCCTCCCATCCCCCAGAGTGGGATTCAAAGACTGAGGGGCTGGAGTGGCTCAGTGATCCAGCACTTGCCTAGCACCCCCAACACCCTTCAAGGCCTGGCAATCTCTGGAGAGGAATTAGTGATGGAAGCCAAAGTTCCTCTACCTCTAGAGTTGTTCAGACACTAGATGGTTTGCCCTTGTAAAAAGGTCAGTGGGCAGTTCTATACAGCCCAGGCCTTGCCTCCTAGGAAGTACCCACTGCCCAACATAATACACCAAGGTATGTGTCTGTGCATGTGGTGTGTGTGTGAAGGTGTGACTTTGTGTGTGTGGTAGTGGGAGCCGCATTTCCTTTAGAGCTCACAAACTGGCAGACTCAAAACTCCTTCCCTGCTTTTCATCACCAACAGGACAAAATCCAGTCAGAATCTGTGTCAGAATTTTCTTGGCTCTGTTAGTTTATACCATTTTGTTCTAGACTTGGCTAGGCACCCAAAGCTCTGTATAAGCTGGCTTTTTCCATGGCCATCTTGAATGGCTGCAACTAACAGCCCTTCTGGAGCTTGCTGCAACATAGCGTGAAGATGGCAAAAAGCATGCTCTGAGGAGCCCTGAACCCCTCGCTCTGCCAGACTACACTGCTGTGTGATCATAGGCAAATTCCTCCATGTCCTTGTCTTCACATGCCTGTGGGCTCTGTCTGTTGAGGACACCGATGATTCTCAGATAACGGTAACAGGTTACCTTCCATCGCCAGCCTATGTGACAAGTGACTCACCTGGCATCCAGTGTGACTCTATAAATGAGGAAATGAACTGTGTTAACCACACAGCACACAAAGGACTGAAAACAGAAGGGACCTAAAGAATGACTGGTCACTATGGCAGCCCCTTGTCCCGCCCCTGGAAACTATGCCATGTGTGTTTACTCTTCAAACCAATGTGTCCCAGTGTCCCTTTCCTCAGACTGCTGCAGCTGCCTCAGCACCTCACACATGGCTGGGCTATGACATCACAAACCCACACCCAGGGCCAAGGGAAAGGTCAGGGTGTACACAGGCTTTGGGGGGAGGGTGGGAACTGGGGGTTCCAAGTTCTCTGAAGAGGCTGGAAGGGGAGCCTGTGGTGGTCAGCTGGGTGTGGCTACCACTATGAGTCAGACCTGGCTGGGCTGGGCGTCACTCTCCCTCCCTTATTTCAGGGTGAGTTATTCCTTAAGCAAAACATCACCCAGCAATGTCTGCAAGAAATGAAGTCTACAGACAACCTAAATCTGCCTACCAGCTGGTACCCACTGCAGATATCTTAGGAGTGGGCACAGGGCACAAGGAAGGGCCCAGGGTCTGGGTAGGGGTCGTTGGTAGACACCTTCAAAGGTGCTGAGGATCTGTAGGAGAGTACAGGGCTGTCCCAAAGGAGATCAGCCATATCCTGCCCTGAATGATTTCACCCCATACCCTAGAACTGTTGGGAACTATATTTTCTTTGGTAAAACAAGGAGATGGGCAAAAAAGTTTCTCTACATCTTTAAAAAGAATGTCCAAAGCAGTCACAGGTGGCTTAAAAGGTCATGTTCTCAGGTCTGCCTGTGTCAGGGCAGCTGCCAATCCCCTTGTAGGATAGCTTATACAACTATAAGTCCAGAACCCCATGAACTATCTCAAAGAAAATCCTAGTGCTGAGGCTCCAGGCTATTTTTCCCTGCTTCTACCTCCTGGCAATCCCTGAGTGTGAGCAGACTAACTTTGAAGGCCCATAAAGAACCCCAGGCCCAAACCTTTGGGAAGAGATAGGGAAGGAGCCAAGGCCTCTTGGGTGGCCAAGGCTAAGCAAGACTTCTGGTACAGGAGCTGAGATGGGGGGAGCTCAGACCAGCACCCTACCCTGCCACAGCTGAGTTGCCTATTCTTTCTCAGCTGCTGAGAACGTGCAAGGAGCAGGAAGACAAGAAGTAGCTATGGAGGGAGGCAGTGCTTGACAGGTCAAGAGGCTCTGGGCTCAAGGTCGCTAGCATCAGCCAGAAGTGGGGCCTGGAGCTGCAGAGCCCAGCACAGAGGACACAGAGACCTCAGTGGGAAGGGTCCTGGAGATGGGAAGAGCTAGACGAGGTCATCTCATCTATAAAATGTGGCTATCGTGAGAACACAGCCCTACTGTGACTGAGATGTTGCTCCGTGGGGCTTCAGTCACCTCCTCTGTTCAGAGGGCTTAAGGACCTCTGCCTGCAGGGGAAGCAGTGGAAAGGGTCAATAGGGTAAATGTAGGAAAAGCCCTCAGCACAACATTCTGCAGGGGAAGCAGGTGTCACCTGCTAACACCTGCCTGGGACACCCCCAGCTGATACTGACAGCAGTTGCAGGAGTTGCTAGGGACAGCCCCCACTCCTCTGCTGCCCTCCACTGTGAACATAGGTGCCCATTCAGATCACAAAGTGGAGGGTGTAGGTGAGCTGGTGGCCATTGTCCCAGGCGTACAGCACCCTCTCCTTGGGGTTGTAGTCAACTTGAGTGGTATAGGAATACTCATTGAGGAAGGGCAACTGTGGGTGAGCATCAGTGCCTGTGTGGGTGTCGAAGGCGTAGGCCACCTGGCCTTCGTGCTGGTTGTAAGTATCCACAGCGTACAGGATACCACACACCAGGAAGCAGTTCCCATAGGAGTTCCTCCTCAGCCGTGTCTTCCACGTGGTCTCTTGGTGCACAGAGAGGTCTCGGGGGTCTAGGCGGCTCAACACGATCACCTCATGCTGGGTTTCATCTCGCTCATCCACAGCTGGGTAGATGACCCAGAGACCACTCTCGTCTACAGCAAAATCAATGTCTGAGTGGCCACGCCACTTCCAGGGTGTGTGGTCCTCGTAGACCACGTCAGGCAGCATTGCCCAGGAAGCCACAAAGCGCTGGCGCAGGTCATATTTGATGATGTTCTTGGTGAATGCACGGTTGTAGTAGAAGGCACCCTGGTAGACCACATGGCCTGTGCCTATCCAGTTGTAAGGTAGCTTGTACATGTTACTCCACCGCCCTGCATACGGAAAGGAGAGGGGTCATACCAGAGTACCCTGGGCAGTCCTAGCCCATATGCGCTGTGTAGTTTGACACAATCTAGAGGAACTGCCCAGACTGGCCTGTGGCCACATCTGGGAAAATTGTCTTGCTTGATGATGGATGTGGGAGGGCCCAGGCCACTGTGGGTGGTATCATGCCTAGGTAAGTGGCCAAGGGTGAATAAGAAAGACAGGGTTTCTCTGTAGCTTTGGGACCTATTCTGGAACTAGCTCTTGTAGACCAGGCTGGCCTCGAACTCACAGAGATCCACCTGCCTCTGCCTCCCGAGTGGTGGGATTAAAGGAGTGCGCCACCAACGCAGGGCCTCCCACCCCTTTTTTAAAGATTTATTTACTTATTATATATACAGTGTTCTGCCTGCATGTATGCCTGCAGGCCAGAAGAGGACACCAGATCTCATTACAGATGGTTGTGAGCCACCATGTGGTTGCTGGGAATTGAACTCAGGCCTCTAGAAGAGCAGCTTGTGCTTTTAATCTCTGAGCCATCTCTCTAGCCCACCAACCCTGTGTTCTATCTCAGAGTCTTTGTATATGATGTTCCTTGAGTCAGGTTTGCTATTCCCCATTCAGCCTGTCTCTCGGTGTCCTTAGCCAGCGTGACTTCCTTAGTGAAGGGCCTCCCCTACCCTGTCTTAGCACTTGCCACATCCACCAGCCTGTGGGCTGCTCCAGACACCACAGATCAAGTCAATTTTGAGCTTAGAAAGGATGTTAGCTGTTAGGTGCATGCTGGCCCCTGTTACCTGGCAGGATGCATCATGCAGTACCCAGGCCAGGCCAGGGTCCTGTGGCTGCTATGTCATTACATAGATTGTATGCAGGTGCAAGAGGTCCCTTTAAGAGATGAGCTCTGCCCATTCCTGCTCTCCTGAAGAGGCAGGCTGGCCCTTCCTCTTGCTCTCCTCCTCCCACTCCCTTTATCTCAGTAAAACTCCCACACTCCCACATAGGGGCTGGCAAGATGGCTCAGTGGTTAAGAGCACTGACTGCCTGATCTTCCAAAGAAGCTGGGTTCAATTCCCGGCACCCACACGCAGTTCACAACTTTCTGCAACTACAGTTCCAGGGGATTGGACATCTTCATATAGACATACATGCAAGCAGAACACCAAAGCATGTAAAATAAGAATAAATAAATCATTTAAAATGTTTAAAAACAACACAAACAAATAAACAAAAACTCCCACGTAAGCTCTACTTGCATGGCGTGTCTGTACCTCACCCATCTTGGGCTCTCACCTGCCACGCAGCCCCTTGGCCCACCAAGGTTCCTCTCCCGCCATTTTACAACATTAGCTATTTCAGGACATTTTCTAGGATTCCATGGTTCTCAGGATATGTCCTTACTCCTTCATGGGATTGGGTGGGTGCACCCCACTGCATGACACCACGCTGTTTCTGTGAGGAACACTTTCCCTTCTTTCTCCTGTTTTCCTGATCCTCCAAGAACTCAGTAAGCCCCCGAAGCCCCTGGGGAGGCTTTCCTATGTCTCCACTCTCTTCCCACAGATACTGAATTAAACTGCTCTAAGCTGTACCAAGATTGCTCCCTTATGTCTTTGCTTCCCCTAGAATATGGATTTCTGGAAGGTGAGACAGTCTTAATGACTTTTCCCCTGTCCTGCCCCAGATCTGATAATCAAAAATTGTCCTCCTTATGCTAAAATCCCTGCTGTGGGCCTTGCCCAAGTCGCAAGTCTTCTAAGGCCTGAGCCTTGCTTTCTTGGAGGGCAGGCAACAATCTCATGGGCTTAGGAAGATTCATAAAACATGAGTGGACACTGAACTAGATAGTTTTTGTTTGTTTGTTTGTGACAGGGTCTCACTATGTAGCTCTAGCTCTCCTGGAACTCACTACTTAGACCAGGCTGGTCTCTAAATTACAGAGATTCAGGTTGGCCTCTGCCTCTTGAGTGCTGAGATCAGGTGCCTGACTTCCTTTGATGATGATGATACGGAAGGGTGAGCCATATGAACCCTTTCCTCCCAACTTGCATGAAGCAATAGAAAGCCCAACTGAGACAGACAGACAGACACAGGCAAGTGCAGGGAACACTCAGCAAGTGGAAGCTTGATCGCAGATCACACCTGTGATATCATGACGCAGGGCCACACTCCCTCCTTCGCCCTGTATTCAGTTCCCAGCAGTGGGCGACAGGCTTCTTTAGGCCCCCAGACACCCTTCCTTAGGGCAGGAGGCTACCTGGAGGATAGGCTGGGCACTGGAAACCATAGGCACAGGAAGGCTGAGTCTGATGAGACTCCCCCTGTCACAGGCCAACCACACTCTTCTCCCTCCCCTTTCTACCCAGTTTCCCTGACCTTGTTTGAAATTTTCCAGGTTCCGAAATTCCACCAGGCTGTTTCCATAGTAGTAGTTGGTGACATAGATCCTGTCATCTAGAGCCGCAGGGTCCTTCATCCAAGCCCCTTCATGGCGCCCATAACTGTGGTGCTTCACAGGGGGGTCCACAGCTCGGAGGGTGCCCTCACAGCTGTCCTCCTTACCTGTGAGGAGCAAAGGACACAGCATTTGATACACACAGCCACTAGTTTCAAGCCAGAGCACTGGGTTTAGGAAGTTGATCCAAGTTCATCTTTTGTTTTTTCTCAAGACAGGGTTTCTCTGTGTAGGCCTGGCTATACTGAAACTGGCTCTGTAGACCAGGCTGGCCCCAAACTCAGAGATCCACCTGCCTCAGCCTCTGGAATGCTGGGATTAAAAGCATGTACTACCATGCCTGGCTTATTCCAGTTTACTTTAACTCTCTCAAAGGTTTTGTTGGTGACCTTTGGCCTATGAGCAAAACAATGCCTGATCACTGGAAAAAGCAGGAACATCCAGAAAGGGGAACGGAGAAGATGCATACCATTCAAAACTCCAGCATCCATTGTACATGAAACTAAAACACAAAAAAAGAGGTTCATCTCAGAGAAGCAGAGACTAGAACGGCTTGGGAGATGCCAATCAAAACTTCAGAAGTACCAATTGGCAGAAGATGAGTTCAGGGTGTCTCCCAATACTTGAAAATTGAGGCTGGTTGTTGGGGGAAATGCCTGCAACCCTCGAATTGTGAAGGCTGAGGTAGGAAGACAGCCATTGCTGAAAATTTGAGGCCAGCCTGGGCTATATAGTGCCAGGTCAGTCAGCTACATGGCAAGACCCTGTCTCAAAAAGGAAGGAAAGAAGTGGGGTGGTGGTGGCATATGTGATTAATCCCAACACTTGGGAAACAGAGGCAGGTGGATCTCTGAGTTCAAGGTCAGCCTCGTCTGCAGAGTGAGTTCCAGGACAGCCAAGACACAGGGAAATCCTATCTCCAAAAACAAAATAAAAAAAAACCCCAACAAAACAAAACAAAACAACCCCCCCCCCAAAAAAAAAGAAAGAAAGGAAGAGGAAAGAAAGGAGGAGGGAGGACAGTCCTAAAATGAATTCTAGTATACAAAGCAACTTCTGAATATATGTGCTTCCTTCCCTATCTTCCTTCCTTATGAAGTCACGCAGACTTTTAAAAAACTGATCCTTCCGAATACCTGGCTTTCTGTACCCTGTTTTCTCCTGCCGCTGACCAATTTCTCACATCACTAAATAGTCTTTTAACTATGGGACGTCTGGGTCCTGCCACCACCAGACAGCTGTATCCTTTAATTTACCCCATCCCCAGTTTCAGCTCTGTAGGTTATTTCCAGTTTCCTGGCACCAGGAACTGTGTTGGGAGGAAGCCATACTAGTTGCAGCTGCTGTCCACGTTGCTTGTGGGTCCTTCTGGAAAAGCAGGCATGAAAGAGCTGACACTGGGCCAGAGTGAGGAAGGGTCTGAAGGCTTGCAGTCACAGGCGGTCACAGTCCTTCAGAATGACTGATCCGTGTGTTACTGCAGACAATGTCTACTGTGTGACACAAACTATAGCTATCAATGTGGACATACAAAGAGCCAGGCATGGTAGCACACGCTTTCAATTGCAGCACTCAGGAGGCAGAGGCAGGCAAATCTCTGAGTTCAAGGCCAGCCTGGTCTACAGAATGAGTTCCAGGACAGCCAGGGCTACCCTTTCTCAAAAAAACAAAGCAAAACAACAAAACAAAAAAAAACCCACCCAAAAACCAAAACAAATGAGCAAACAAACTCAGAAACCAAAAAAGAAACAAACAACAAAATAAACAAAGAAAAAAACAGCCAAAGAGTACTGGGGGCGTAGCTCAGAGGTGGGATGCAGCTCAGAGGTGGCAGCTGGGCCATAGGCTCAGTCCTGACACCTTGGAACCCAAACAAAACAGACTGGAAAAGGACCTAAGAAATCTATCAGTGGCTGGATTTAGTGGTAGGTATCCAGTTCACGTTTTAAAGAGAATTTAGTGCAACTATACCTGTTTAACAGTCACATTAAATGTTGGCATTTTCTGCAAAGGCTCCTGGGATAACTAAGCTAGGCTACGAGGGGACAAACTCCTATCCCATAGTCTTTCTTTTTCCACATAATTCTTTTGAAAGCACAAAGCTGAAGCTAAGAGAGCTTGCTGTACAGTCCTGAGGATTTGTGTTTGGAGCCCAGCACAGTTCTAGCAAGTGGGCCCCCCCCACACCTGTTGTTCTGTTGGAAGCTCTGCCTCAGGTCCCCTCCTCCCTCTCCAAACCCTGCTCCGACCCCCAGCTGCTCAAGACCCCGCCTACAGGGTATTTAGGCTCTGGTCCATAGAACTGCCATCTGATTGATTTTTCCTCTTTCCCAGAGATCACCTGGGAATACTTTGCTCAGATAACCCTGTTCTTTACCTTTAATTTGGGTTGATTTGGCTTACTGTTTTGGTGGAGAAACCCAATACTGGGGATTCAAAAATGCTTATCACAGATAGCAGTTTGCTGGAATTTTCTGACTTTCAGGCTAGCCAAGAAAACACAAGCCGTAGGTTTAGGGAGAAACCTTGCCTCTAAAAAAGGAATAGTTAGAAAGTGATTGAAAGGGTCTCTCTCTCTCTTCATACACACAAACACACACACATACTCCTTTTAAGAAAAAGAAATTTTGAAGTATGCCAGGTGTGGGGGCACATGTCTATAATGCCAACACCGAGGAGGCTAAGGCAGGAGGGTGTGAGCTCAAGGACAGCCTGAGCTACAGTGAGACCCTGCCTCAAAATAACTAAACAACTAAACAACAACAAACCAAACAAAAAAAATCAACAATTTGATAAAACTGAACATTCTTGGATCAAGAGGCAAACAAGACACTGGATTTAGTCATAAGCTGACCGAGTTTTCTGACTCTTAGGAGACTTACTCACCATGGCTTGGGACTTCTGGATGCAAAGATGGCTCAGTGTGCCAGGGAGTGGTGGCAGGACTTGGGGTGGAAGTAGAGATGTGAGGGGCCAAGCTGGGTCCTTCTGAAGTTTTCAGCATGATTCCATTATGTTTGGCAGAGTTTGGTTCTAGAAGCTTGGCCTCCATCTTGAGTGGTACTTTCTCCAGCCAGGAAGTGCTCTTGAGGGTGTTATCTGTGGAGAGAAGATGACTTAGTATTCATGCCCCAGAAGTACGGACGCACAGCTTTGCCACAGACCTCCTCAGGGTCTTTCTTCTCTGACCATGGAGGAGTTGAAAGGCCTCAAGTAGGAGATGGGTAGACTTCCTAGTCAACAGGATAGGACTTTCCGACGAGCACTCTGGCCTGGGGCCCAGCTTTGCTGCTCCTTTCCTGGGTGAGTTTTTAAAGAGTAAGCCCTTACTTCTTTGGGATTGCACCTCTGTAAAATGAGTGTCATAACCACAGTGCTGATTAGAAGAATATGCTTATAAGACGTTTGTACTGATTCTGCAAACAGGTGGTGGCAAATACAAGGTTCTTTTTTTTCAAGTGTTAAGTACGTTGTTCCAACTCTGTCATGCCTTAAACTTAGTTCCACAGGCAAAACTCCTTGTTTAGGATTGTAGACTTTCTCTCAGTCACCTTCCTGGGAACCTTGATAGCCTTGAACCTCCTTCCCTAGTGTCTGTTACCTCAAACAAGGAAGGGACGGATGCAGCTAGTGTCTTGTCAATTCTAGACCACAGATCTCTGCCCCTCGCTCATTTCCGATACTCACTTCTCTAGCTGCGTTTATACCTTCCAGGTCCCAAGTGCCAGTACAGGCTCAGCTGAGTGGGTTCCTCTTTGCCTGCAGTTGGGCAAGCCACTCTGTCCCCACACCGGAGACCCAGGGGGAGGAAAGCCTCTTTGCTCAGGGAATCCACAGGGAACACGGCCTTGGCAGTCTGTCAGGTCAGGAGGCTTATTCCCATGAGCATTCTTGGCAGAGTCAGATGCCCAAAGCTGTGCCTGGGCAGTGGTCCAGCCAGGGGTCAGAAGCCCTGTATTGTGCCAGGCTGAGTTGGCAGGATTCAAGGACAACAGCTGGTATCAGGGACTAGGGGAGGAGGTTATACCCTGAAGGGCTTAGAAATGAAGGGACCTTTTCTTTTACAGGGTCTCTCTCTCTCTCTCTCTCTCTCTCTCTCTCTCTCTCTCTCAAATGTATGGGGGTATGGGGTGCACTTGTGTGTGGAAGCCTTCCCAGTGCTGGGATCACAAATGTGTGCTACTGGCCTGGAGAGAAGGCTCAGTGGTTAAAAGCACTGACTGCACTGGGCAAAACGCCTTTAATCCTAGCACTTGGGAGGTAGAGGCAGGAGGATCTCTGGGAGTTCAAGGCCAGCCTGGTCTACAGAGTGAGTTTCCAGGACAGCTAGGGCTGTTACATGGAGAAATCCTATGTGGGGGTGGGGGAGGAGAACCTGACCACTCTTCCAGAGGACCCAGGTTCAATTCCCAGAATCCACATGGAGTTCACAACTGTCTATAACTTCAGTTCCAGGGGTTCTGGCACCCTCACACAGACATGCATGCAGGCAAAACACCAATGCACACACATAAATAAATAAATCTCTAAAAAATAAAAAAAAAGTTATTTTAAAGGCGTGTGTGTGGGGGAACTGGAGAGATGGCTCAGCAGTTAAGAGCACTTGTTCTTCAGAGAACTCAGGTTCAATTCCCAGCACCTACATGGAAGCTCACAGTTGTATGTAACTCCAGTTCCAGGCGATCTGATGCCCTCACACAGATAGACATACACGCAAGCAAAACACACAAAATAAAAATAGCACATAAAATAAAAATAAATAAACAACACTCAAACCAAACAAAATAAAATAATAAAAACAAACAGGTCTGGGCTACCATAACCAGTATTTTTTTAAAATGTGGCTTTTGGGTATCAAACGTGGGTCCTCATGCTTTTGAGGCCAGCACTTTACTGACTGAGCACTTTTTAGTTCCTGTGGTAGGAATTTCACCTTATCAATAAGATCTCAGGTGTGCTAGATAAGCATCTACTCTCCCTGCCACTGAGCCACAGCCTCAGTCCACTGCTACTTCATATATTAAGACAGGGTCTCAGTAAGTTGCCTAGCTTACTCTTGAAATCACTCTGAGTACCAGGGAGACCTTGAACTTAAAACAATATTGTAGGGGCTGGAGAGAAGGCTCAGAGCTTAAGAGCCTAAGGACCAGGGTTCAATTCCCAGCACCCACATGGTAGTTCACAACTGTCTGTAACTCCAGTTCCAGGGGATCTCACACCTGCGCACAGACATACATCTAGGCAAAGTCCAGCGTACATTAAGTAAATCTTTAAAACAACAACAAACAATATCCTAGCCTTGGCACTCTTTAGCTGCAACTTGCAGGCCAGCGCTACCAAGCCTGGAGTAGCCTTTTTGGTTGTTTTTAAGTCAGCCTCTTACTGTATAGTTCAGGCTGCCCTTGAACTCCTGCCTCAAGCTCTTGAGTGCCTGGGATTTCACTTCTGAACCCGACAGGAGGGAATTCTTGAAGAATATTGGACTCTAACTGCTTGACATCCCTGCCTTTGGAAGAACCCAGTTATTTCTTGTGTAGCCCTTGGCTGTGACCCAGGTGGAGACACCAGGGACCAGGCTGGCAGGAAAAGGGCAGGGTCTATGGGCTCTTCTTCAGGAAAATAACACAGGAGAGAACTGGAGAGGCTGGTCCAGAAGTGGGAGGGCTCCCTAGCGGCCCACTTCACTCTCCAAAAGCCCCACGTTCTCCCATCTCCACTGTCACAGGTGCGGCTCCTCCCATAGAACTGCAAGCTCCTCGTCCACCTCACTCTGTGACCTTGTACATAGCTGACCGGCAGCAAATCTTTGAACCAAAGTCCAGACCAGGGGAGGACAGCTGTGCGATACCGAGAGAGGCCTCTTGTGCTGCCTCCATTACTTCCTCCTCATCAGCAGCCCTACCGGGGTCTTCTACCCAGTGTGGGATTGAGCAAAGGACCCTAAAAAAGCAAACAATGGTGCTGTGATCTGTGACTTTGTGGCTGCCGAGAAGGCAGGTGGATCTCTGGAGGTAGCCATCGCTCAAATAAGCCCCACTCCCTCCCACTCACCAGCCGTGGCCTTCGGTTCTTCTTGTTTGGCCTCCTGCCTGCCCGCCTTGTAGTAGGTGAAGCCTCGGATCATAGCCTGCTGCTGGGCCAGGGCACGTGGCCTGGCTGTGGGGTGGGGTAATCTGCCCTTGATGCTCTCCTTCCTCAGCTTCTCCACCTTCAGCTGCTTCTCCTTGGGAGGCTTTGCAAGGCCCTTGTCTGAGAAGCTCTTTTGTATGCTGCCATATTTGTTGAGGTCTTTGTCTTGCCCTCCAGCTGTGTCCTGGGAAGAGCAGAAGTCTCAGACTCATGGACTGGGAGTCACAGCCCAGTGTGTGGGAGCTGGAGGTGGTCACAGGGTATGTGAAGTTCCACAGTGGATATATCCAATAATTTGTTTGCCTCTGTTTCTCCCCTCAGCTTTCTAGTTCCTCTGCAGGCTTGAGACCCAATTCAGAGGCTTACACACTCATTCCCAACTCCTGTCCACTTGTTCTCTTGGCTTGACTGACAGGTTGGCTCCAGAGGAGGCCTCCTACCCTTGTCTCTCATTCATTGGTCTTAGCTTATGGGGAAAGGGAGGTTCTTTACAGAGGAAGGTTCTTTACAGAGTACCCAGAATGCTCCCCATGCTAGCCTTGAAATCACAGCATCCTGAGAAGCCCCTCAGTCACATGTTGGTCTGGCTAGCCCTAGGGAATGCCATATCTAACATTTTGTGAGCTTTGTTATTTCACTTTCTACTCAAATGCTCTGAGGCCAGCTTGGCACAAGAACACAGGGCCTGGGACGCCACCCTTGTGAGACAGGCAGATAAGGTTTGTGCAGCATCTGACGGCTTCTGAGCAGCGGCCAACGTGGGACTCGCTTGCACTTGCAGGGCTGGCATCTCCCTGGCAGCCAGCTCCAGGCCACGGTGTAGACTTCCTCATGCTTTCTTGTGTCTAGGCAGGCCCACCTACAGTTATCGACAGCGCTACTCTCACATTGTCAGCACAGGAGGTACAAGTTGAGGAGGAAGGGCTGGGGCTGGGCAGTCACGAAGGCCCGCTGCAGCCCGGCTCAGCCACCCCCTCTCCCTGTGACCTCTCTCCCTGTTTCTTCATGTGCCAAGTAGGCAGGGGGTCAATTCTCTGTGCAGGCTGTGGGATGAACTAACACTGTATGTGAGGGAGTCAGGCTCAGAGGACTCCTAAAAATATCACCAAAAAATGAGGCTACTGGGTTGGGTCCTGCCCATGGATGACTGATCTGAGGGGCACCAAAAGGGCACGACTTGTTGCACTCCTGGCCAAATGACATACTCTGAGTATCACCTGAGGAAAGAACACTGACTTCCTGGCTATATGGGAAGTAGGAGGTCAATTTTTCTACCTGCAGGGGTGCGCTGGCTATTTTTATTTTATTTATTTATTTATTTATTTATTTATTTATTTATTTATTTATGCCAGCTCGACACAAGCTAGGGTGATCTGTGAAGAGAGAACCTCATTTGGAAAATGCCTCCACCAAATTGGTTTGCAGGCAAGTCTGTGGGCATTTTCCTGATTAACAATGGATTGGATGGGCCCAGCCAACTGTGCGTGGTGTTAACCCTATGCAAATGGTCCTGGGTTATATAAGAGAGCAGGCTGAGGAGGCCAGTAAGCAGGTTTAGCTTGTCTGAAGGATCAGAGACACAACGTAGACAGCCACCTTATGTCTTTACCCATGCTCAGACCAAAAGCGCAATCTGTCCTCAGACAGCACCCTCATGTTGACTGCTTCAGACCGCACTGAGCTCCTGTCTCCTCCCACCTTATACTCCTCTCTCTGCCCAGCCATATTACTTCCCACCTCCATCTCCCTGGTGCTGGGATTACAGGTATGGGCTACCACTGCCTGGCTCTGTTTCTCTTTGAAAGTGGATCAATCTTGTGTAGCCTAGGGTGACCTTGAACTCACAGAAACTTGTCTACTTCTGTCACTAGAGTCCCGGAATTAAAGTGTGTGCCACTACTCCCTGGCCTCTGGTGATCTTCAGGTAAGCTTTATTTGTTAAAACACAAAGTATTACCACACCTCTGTTTCAGGTCCTGCCTTGAATTCCCACCCTGACTTTCCTCAGTGATGGTGTATGACCTGACACTTCCCCATATTGCTTTTGGTCACGGTCTTTATCACAGCAGTACTGTGAAGGCAAACTAGAACAAGGGGATTTTAAGTTTGTGCAAAGACATGCTACTTGCTATGGGTAGGATACTAGTCTTCAGAGGCCCCTGTAGTACCGCTCACTTACCCTGCACCCACCCAGGGTCCCAGCCACAGCAGGAGAGGCTAGAAGCAGTCCTGCAGGAATGCTGGCTTGGTTCTCTAAGATCAGAGGGAGGCTCTCACAACCTCATTTCCAGTACTTTGGCAACTGGGGATAAGAATAAACACCCAGTTTAGGGGCCAGCCATGCCCTGGATTGAATCTGCAAGGGTGCCCCAGCTTACCTGTACTAGCCACAAAGTAAAGACAGACACTCCCCAGTTCCTGCCCTGCACACCATGGACTCTCCAAACATTCCTCAAGCCCAGCCACCTTCTACCCCTGTGGCCAGAGCAAAGGTCTCACCTGAGCTTTGCTGTCAGAGCTTGAGGCTGAGGCTGTGGAAGGGACGGCAGCCGCATCCCTCTGCAGCAGCTGGAGGCCCAGGCTGGACAGGTCCTTCTTAATGCTCAGCATGATGGCTGACTGGTTCTCGTAGCTCTTCAGCTGCTCGCTGAGGTGGCGTATGCTGTCTTTCACCACCTCGTTCTCCTGGCTCAGGTTGGCCTTAATGCTCTGTGGGGCAGGATTCATGGTCATTCCTGGCCCTGCTTCTTCTGAGCTGCCACCCTAGCAGGGCACGCCAACTTGGCCATGAAGACTCAAGGGGCATAGATATAAGTGGTTTTGGAGAAGAGGGTGGAAGAAAGCATGTCCCGTAAGACCTGTAGTTAATCAATTTTATTCTCATGACCAAATGAATGAAAAATAGGTAATATATGCTTATATTAATAAAAGAAAAAGGCCAGGTATAGTGGCCTTGAATCCCAGTACTAAGGAGGCAGAGGCAGGCGGATCTCTGTGAGTCTGAGGCTAACCTGGTCTGCAGCGGCAGGCGGATCTCTGTGAGTCTGAGGCCAGCCTGATCTGCAGAGCATTGTGAGAGCACATATAGGTAATACTGTGCCAAGAAAAACTCTCATGTCAGCTTCCCCAGCTGGCCTGATCCAACAGGTCTCAGATAATCTAAGAACTGTGACACGCAGCTTTGGGTTTAGTCAGATGTAAGTCTTCCCTCCTGTGGCACAGGATGCCCAGTTACCACCTCCCTTTGGAAAGGAAGCTGGGAAAGGAAGTCCCCACGCCTGCTCCTGGCAGCTGTGTGTCACTAGATCCCTGGTGCTCAGCAGAGGCCGGATGCAGGAAATGGGTGGAGGGTGGAGGCCAGGCAATGCCAAGAGAGACAAGCCTTGAACCTACAGCCTGGACCTCCAGGCGTGTCCAACTGTTCTTGTACTCAGAGGATAGTCTTCCAGAATACACAGTCTGTATTCTAGTGCCTTTGCTGGGATTGTTAAATCAACTGGGGCTTGGTCAGGTCCTTGTACCAACCCAGAGGCACAACTGATATGACAATCCTCCGGGAGCGGTACTCTGATGTTGGGTCCACCGGGAGTGTGGACCCTGATGTTGGCAGCACCCCCTTAACACTCCTTTCACACTACCAAAGAGAACCTCAGTTTCTTTATCCAGGCTTTTAGCTTCCTTGAGTTCTTTTTTTAAAATTTATTTATTTATTCATTCATTCAGTATCCTGCCTGTAGGCCAGAAGAGGGCACCAGATCTCATTATAGGTGGTTGTGAGCTACCATGTGGTTGCTGGGAATTGAACTCAGGACCTCTGGAAGAGCAGTCAGTAACAGTCAGTGCTCTTAACCGCTGAGCCGTCTCTCCAGCCCGCTTCCTTGGGTTCTTGCAACCCCCAGACCTCCATCCCAACGGCAGGACCCTGCAGCTCACACCCTCTTCCCAGTTCCCTGATGGAGTTTCCTTCCTATGGCCACAAGGATGAAACAGCCCTGGGCCCCTGGCCCTGCCCTTACCTCCTCCAGCGTGTTCATCTGGGAGGCCACCTTGTGGATGTAGGCGTGTACTTTCATCAGATCCATGCTGTACAGGGCACCCTCCAGGAGATCCACCATAGACTGCAGCTGGAGGTGGGGGTGGGATAGGGAGACGGATGGTTAAGTCCACTGCAGGAAAGAAGCCCAGAATCCCAGGGTCTCACAGAGGCTTGGGCTCCAGCCTGCTCATAATCACAGGACAAGGAGCAGATAAGATTTTATTGATGCATTTTACAAATATGCATATTTGTGTTTTCTTTTTTGAAGTGCTAGGGATGTATCTGAAGGTTTTCTACATACTAGGCAAATACTACACCATTGGGTCACATCTCCAGGAAGTGGGGGTTATATGTAGGTGGTGATATATTATATATCTCCAGTTTCCCTGTGATGGGACCATTCAAGTTCTTTTCTGATAAAATGCTATCACCCACAATCACCCTTTTGTATGATGGAACGGGGAGCTCTTCCTCTGACCCACACTACGTGCCCAGCAATCATCCTCTCCATGCAAGCCTATCTTTTGAGCGACAAAGTGGCTAGACTCCAGAGCTACAGTGTCTCCAGAGGCAGCCCTGTGGCATGATTGACAGCTGTGGGCTCCTCGGAGTCAGGCTGCAGCTGTCCCTTGGCCACATTTGTACTTGGGAGGTCTCCCCTCATGGCCCTGCTTTATGTACTTTGCTACTGTGTCTCTGGAGACACTTTTATAACTTGCTTTTTGGTCATGAATCACTGGACAACAGGTGTGCTTGCTTTAATTGATCAACCCACCCAAACATGGACCTTTTTACTTTTTCTTTTTTAGATTTTTTTTATTTTTATGTGTATGGGTGTTTTGCCTGTATGTCTATCTGTCTGTATATCATGTGGGTACTTTGGAGACTAGAAGATGCCATTGGATTCCCCTGAAATTGGAGTTACATATGTTTGTGAGCTACCATGTGAGTGCTGGGACTCAAACCCCGGTCCTTTTGCAAGAGTAGTCAGTATTCTTAAGGGAGGCACCATCTCTCCAGTCCCAGTGGGTTAGTATTGTCTGAAGTAAGCTCGAGAAGAGCATACACTGCAGAGCTGATGGCAGAGGCTATCCTGAGCCTGTGCATTCTGGAGCCTGTGCTCAGCGCCGCGTGAGAGGGGGATATGGAGCTCTGCCTTTTTTTTTACTGCTGAGTGAGAGGCGTAGGAGCAAACAGCTTGAGGTGCCTGTGGCAGAAATCAGTGCAGAACAGGAGAAGAGATTCCGGTTTTCCATGATGCTTTGTAGCTCCCGGCAGAGCAATTTTATTTGGGTTGACACTCATAAGAGATTGGACTTCAAATTTGGCATGCCTGCTTTCTCCCTCCCTTCTTCCCTTCCTTCCCTCCTCCTCCTTCCTCTCTCTCTCTCTCACATTTCTTCCTCCGCCATCTCCCACTGTAGGTGAGCTCATCAGCGGAGGCTCTAGGTCAATGTTGGTTGTCTCTTAACACTCTCCATCTGACATCCTGAGACAGGGAACCTGGAAGTCCCCATTTTGGCTAGACTGAGTGGTCAGCAAACTCCAGGGTCCTCCTGTCTCTGCTCCCACCAGCACTGGGTCACAAGCATGTGACTCCATGGCTGGCCTTTGTGTGGGTGCTGGGATTCAAATTCAGGTCCTCACGCTTGCACAGCAGACACTTTGTCCACCAAGCTCCCTCTCCCCAGCCCCTTCCTCTTCTTTTTCCTCTCCTTCCCTTTTCTGCACCGAGGGAACCTATGCATGCTAAGCAAGTGCTCTACTACCGAACTGTACTCCAACTTCATTTATCTGAAGTCCATTTCTAGAATATTTCACAAAGTATTAGTCCTTGACAGACTTGTTTGTTTCAAGACAAGGTCTCACTGTGCAGCCCTGGCTGTCCTGGAACTCACTCTGTAGACCAGGCTGGCTTCAAACTCATAGAGATCCTCCTGCTTTAATCCCAAGTGCTGGGATTAAAGGCCTGAGACACTATGACTGGCATTGACAGACTTTATTTTTTTTCTTAAGTTTATACAAAGCAATTTATTAACAGAAAATAATTGAGAGATCCTGTTCACAGATGGTGACCATGACAAGCCCCCTTCCTTTGGGTGCTGTCAGAGGGAATAGGGGTGACATCCTCAATCCACTCAGTCTTCATACCTGAGCGAGCAAGAGCTCCAAGGGCTGACTGGGCTCTTCTTGGTCCTGATTCTTCTGTGGCATGGAGTTTGATATGTGATGCACCAGCTCCTTGCACCTCTGGGCCACATCCTGGGTAGCCAATGTGGCTGCATATGGAGAGGGCTCATCTCTTTTCTTTCTTTCGTAAGATTTATTTATTTATTATGTATACAGTGTTCTACCTGCATGTGAGCCTGCAGGCCAGATGTCATTACAGATGGTTGTGAGCCACCATGTGGGTGCTGGGAATTGAACTCAGGACCTCTGGAAGAGCAGGCAGTGCTCTTAACTGCTGAGCCATCTCTCCAGCCCTGAGGGCTCACCTCTTGATAGACTTTTTCAAACTGTAGTTGTTTTTGTAAAGACCTATTTTAGTTTTTAATTTGTGTGTGTGTGTGTGTGTGTGTGTGTGTTTACACGAGTGCAGGTGTGCTCAGGAGCCAGAAGAGGATGTCAGATTCCCTAAAGCTAGAATTACAGGCAGTAAACTGTCCAACATGAGTGTTGGGAACCGAACTCTGGTCGTCTGAAGGTGGCGCAAAGAGCTCTTAACTGCTAAGCCATCTCTCTAGCCCAATAGCCTCTTTTTTAAAAAAGTATAATTTATTTATTTTTGTTTTATGTACACTGGTGTTTGTATGAGTTTCCTTGGAACTCATGTCATTTCTCAGAACAGGAATTACAGATAGTTGTGTGCTAGCAGGTAGGTGCTGGGTATTGAATCCAGGTTCTCTGGAAGAGCAACAGGGCTCTTAACCACTAAATCACACCTCCAGCTTCCCCTCCCCCTGCCACCCTTTTAAATTGGATCTTCACTACAGATAGTGATCAGAAGTCATGCATCATGTATATGAGGAAGTGACAGGTAGCCATGGGACTAAACAGGGCTAGAGAGGGCACAGATGCATCCCGTTACAGCATTTCACCAACCTCTGTTCAGAACGCTCCATCTGCCTGAGGACTCCTATGCATTGCTCAGGCCCAGGCCCAGGCCCAATGTTATTCACGCTATGGGGCTCCCATGATCCCTGGCACAGTCCCTAGCCCAGTCAGTACAGAGTATATTGCCATTGTTGGGGCCAGCAGCTGTATCCTTAGAGGCCTGGTGACTCCTCAAGGCTGGGGCTATGTCTGGCCCCATGTCCAGAAAGAAAAAGAGGGAAGTGGTTAAGAGGCATTTTTCTTGGTCAGTCTAGTCAAGAAATGGGGCAGGAGGGCATCTCCTCTCCTCTACAGCTATGTAGCCTAGGCCAGACCACAAGAAGGGGCTGGGATAGAGAGGTAGGCTGCAAGGCCAGTTCTGTCCCTCCCTGGGATGTTTACCCAGGGCCTCCTGCTGATGGTAGCAGTGCCAGCTGAGTGGGAGAAACCCTTGTACTGGCTCCCACTGCCTCTGGCCCATTCTCATTTTGGGGGTTCCCTGAGTACACTTTAGGTAATCTCTCCTGCCTCTGGCATGTCCTACCTGCTGGGGTTCCTCTATCTCTAAGGTCAGGTCAAGACCCTGTGGCAAGACCTGCCATGCACTCAGAAGGCCTAGGGACAGTGACTTGGTGGGAACCTCAACCTGGTGACCTTTCAGGTGGGCAAGTGACCGCAACAGAGAATTTGGGGCTCAGCCCACTCCTCTTGGTAACTTCAGGCAATTTACAACCTTTTTTTGGATTCAGAGACCATTACAAGTAAAGCTGTCACCATAAGCCCCCCTTCCTAAAGGACTCCAGGAAGGATGGCATGAGGCAGCGTTTAGACAGAGGGCCTTGGTGACTTCATAGTGAGCATGCTCACAACTCAGCTGCAGAAGCTGGGCATCATAGGGCATGCCAGCAACCCCAGCACTTGGGAGGCTGAGGCAGGAGAATTGTTGATAAAAGTATGAGGTCAGCCTGGGCTACAGAGTGAGATCTTGGGTCTACAAGTCAATACAAAAACAGAACCTCCAGATATTGGGCCACTCACTTGAGGAGAAACCGAGATTGTCCCTGTAACTGCAGCAGGTCTGTGGGTTGAATGCTGGAGAAAACAGGGCACTGGGCAGGCCCCATGGAATTAGTATGCTCCAGACACTGCCAAACTGTTAGAGGGTCACTGGCTTAAAATGGGCTACTCCCTCCAAGTTTAATAATTTTGGCATCAACTTATATAGTACAAAAATAAGACTAAGTTAAATTTAAAGAAAACATTTTTAGCCAAATGCTGGAGACAGCACTTCATGGGCCTCTTGCTTCTCTGTGTGTCTTGCGTGCAAAGGAACCAACCACCTTACTTCAGAGTCATCTAGTTAGAGATAGTCTTGGGTCATGAGACAGCATTTCCCTGCAGGGAATGACAAACACAAGGTTCTAAGTTCTCTGAACTCAGGGCTCCTCTTTCCCATACCATATTGAATACCATACTGATTACAGTATGCTGGAGCACAGCAAACCAGCGAAAGGGAATGGAGATGAGCTGGGAGTCATGAATTCCCTTGTCTGTGACCCAGGAAGCTGTGCCTTCCACTAGCATCCAGGACTATGTCACCTTGTAAACTTATATGTCGGGTAGCATCTCAGATCATTCATTGTTTCCAACACCAACAGGCCAATGAGATGCATGTTTGGAAGACACTGTAAGAGAAAAGACTTACAAAGATACCAAGACAGGAGCAGAGAGATGGCTCAGCAGTTAAGGTGACTTGCTACTCTTGCAGAGAACCTGAGTTCAGCTCTCAGCACCTGTAACTCCAGTTCCAGGGGATCCAATGCCCTCTTCTGGTCTCCATAGGCAGCAGACATGCATGTGATGCAGTTATATACATACAGGCAAACACTCATATACATTATAAAATTTAAAAAATATTTTTATAAGATATGAAGCAAACGTACCCTTTATAAGATCTAACAAAGTGGTCCTTTAGAGAAAAGCCGAGGAGCATGTGGGTTAGACACACATTCAGACACAGCAGGATCTGGGTTCAAAGCCCAGCCCCACCTGGCCCACCGAGTACTGGCATGGTGCTGCCCATATGTAAAATCCGTACTTGGTAAGCAGAGGTAGGAGGATCAGAGTTCAAGGTCGTCTTGGACTACATAGGAAGTTTGAGGCAAGTCTGGAACCCCTATGCCGATTAAAATAAACAAAAATAACCCTGGCATGACGGCATAAGCCAATCATCCCAGAACTCACGCAACAGAGGATTGCTACAAATTCCAGGCTGGCTATCCTGGTATATATAGTGAGTTCCAGGCCAAATTGTATGACCTTGTCTCAAAAAGCAAGACAGGACAAACAAAATAATAACAAAATGCCCCAGAAATGGTTTAGATGACACTCAGGACAGTGAGTGATTCGAGGGGTCCTCCTGACTTCAGCTGGCTTCTCTCACCTGTGATACGGATGTCCTGGGAGAGCCAGGTCACCCCTCACTGTGTCAGCCTACCTTGAGGAGCTCAGGTGCCTGCTTCTTGAGCTTTTCCATCTTCCACTCATTCTCACAGGGGTTGAGTGAGGAAGGAGGAGCAGTGCAGGAGCAGCGACAGTCGGTCCCTGAACTCAGGGTCTCCACAGTGTAGAAGTCCTCTGCTCGTCCACGCCCACTTCGTACCCGGTTGCAGGCATCCTTGCTCAGTGGTCTCAGAAGGCATTTGCAGCGGCAGTCGGAGCCCTCTGAGGTCATCCGTACCTGGTCCAGGTTGCTGAACACCTATAAAGGGTGAGCCAGTGGGGTTCCATGTGTCGTACCGTGGTGACAGGCTGGGGTGGTGGCACTTAGAGGTAGCTGAGAAGAGGCAGGGACTCAACAGCACGTCACACACAACTACATTTCAAATGTTAATGCCCAGCTGTGGAAAAGTTCAAAACATGGAACTGTGCGTGGCAGTAGTGGTGTACTCTTTTAATCCCAGCACTCCAGAGGCAGAGGCAGGCAGATCTCTGAGAGTTTGAGGCCAGCCTGGTCTACAAAGCAAGTTCTAGGACAGCCAAGGCTACACTGAGAAACACTGTCAAAAAGAAAAAACACACACGGCCTGAATCCTGGGTGAGAGGGCAACAGGTAGCAGCATCCTTTCTGTCCCTGTCATTTTCCTGCGTCTGGAAGAGAGGGCTCCCTGACTCGGGCTGGTGACAAGTCAACGAAACACAGAAAAAAAAAAAACAGAACAAAACATAAAAAACAGGAGCTGGCACATACAGAGTGTGCCTTAGGTGTGCGCCATTAACACAGATGAGGACAGGCTTAGAGTCACAAGGGTTTTTGTTGTTGTTGTTTTGCTTTGTTTTGTTTTTCAGGACAGGGTTTCTCGATGTAACAGCCCTAGCCGTCCTGGAACTAGCTCTTGTAGACCAGGCTGGGATTAGAGGCATGCGCCATCACTGCCCAGCACGCCACAAGCTTAAAGATGACACCATTTTGAGGTCGAAGACTGGCCCACAACACACCATTGCTCTGCGGCTCCTTTGATTCACTCTTTCAGTTTCACTCATGCATATGATATATTTTGGTCATTTTCTTCCCATTACCCTTTACCATCCCTCTCTCCTGCTGAAACCTTTCATTGTCCCATGTCCTCTACTTTGATGGTGTCTGTGTGTGTCCCACTGAGTTTTAAAACGACACCCCTAACTCACAATCCTTAACCGCCAATTGTCTCACAGTGAGGAGTGGGGCCTCAGGAGCCTGTTTCCTAGGTGACTTCTACAGAGCTGTTCTCCTATGCCCTGGGTAGAGGGGACCGTCAACAGGCTCTAACCCCATTTCTTCAATGGCACAATGGAGTGTCCAGACTTCTCAAAGCGGAGATCACATGAAACAACACAACCTCAAGCCAGAGGTTTCCTTTTCCTCCCTCTCCTCCTTCAACATCACGCTATCACATCATGCTACACACCCCATGACCGCATGTGGTCACTTGTTTCGGGGACACCACCAGCTCTGTGTCCTCAGATATCAACCTAGTGAGATGGGAGGCAGGTGCCTTGCACAGATACACCTGGCCTGTACCTTGGGCTCCAGACCCTTAGTGAACTACTAGTCCCAGCCCAGCTCGCAAAGACTCACCCCAGGGCTACAGCTGCTCAGCTATCACTGGATGAGAAACCATGAGGACACAGGTGAGCTCATGGCACCATGGACCTCTGTTGAGCCCCAAGACGCTGCCTAAGGAAGGGAATAAGCTTAGACTTTCATTTCCTGTCTAGATCCTCAGATACCCATGTGAGCTCCTGGCTTCTGCCAGGCTCTGAGTGGCTGACACCTAGAGGCGCAGAATAGATTAGGGAACATTTTGACTTCTTTGGTTTTTGTTTTTTGAGACAGAGTTTCTCTGTATAACCCTGGCTGTCCTGGAACTCACTCTGTAGACTTGGCTGGCCTTGAACTCAGAGATCTGCCTGCCTCTACTTCCTGAGTGCTGGATAAGCCTCCAGCTTATCCTGACTTCTTTAGATACAGAGATGCAACACAGAGGCTCTGAGAGCACAGACTGTTGAGGTGGCTTGGAGAAGTGTGCCCTTGTGGAGAGGACATTGCTGGAAAGCAAATCAGACAGGCAAAAACAAGAGAGTCTGGCTTTTCAGGAAGCCTTGGGAGCGGGGTGGGAAGATCACTCTGACTGGTGCTTTCATGGATGCAGGGTGGCAGGAGGTGAAACTATAGACATGGCAGAGCCCAGTCTTAGAGGGTCTAGGGCTGGCTGGCTGGCTGAGGATCTCAGTTTTCTATTTGAATCTGAAATGTTCTCCAAGATTCTTGTGTTAAAGGCTCAGTTGCCTGCTGATAGGCCAGGGAGGAGGAATCACAAAAGCTCTGAGCTCATCTGTGGAATAATCCACTGATGAATTCATAATTGAATGGCATTTTGGGGAAGCGGTGCAACCCGGGAGGGGGCCTAGGTCATTGAGGGTGTGCCCCAAAGAGTGGTTCTTCTCTGCAAACCATTCCGCTGCCTTCCCTCCCCACTCCTTCCGTCTTTCTCTGCAGCTTCCCAAGAAACGCAAGTCCACACCGCCTAGGCTCACTCTCTCCAATGTGCTATTTTATTTTTCAAGACAGGGTTTCTCTGTGTAGCCTTGGCTGTCCTGGAACTAGCTCTGTAAACCAGGCTGGCCAAGAACTCACAGAAATCCGCCTTCTTCTGCCTCCTGGGTGCTGGGATTAAAGGCATGTGCCACCAGCCCCCGGCCCCATGTGCTAGTTGATGGCAGGGAGGCTGGAGACCATGGTCAACCAGGTTAGCCTAGGGCTGACAGCTGTGGGCACAGATCCCACCAAGGACACTGAGGGACTGAGAGGTAGAGTGCCGGTCCCACAGACAGGGCAGGAACACACTGAGCTGTAGGTGATCAGTTTCTCTGGGTGGGTGCACTGGTCTACTTTTTCTATTGTTAGCAACATCCTACAGATGAGAAAATAGCCCCTAAGCCATAAAATGCCAGGTTGGGGAGGATAAGCCTGGGCTGTGTGGATTTCCTCTGTTTTTTTCTGCAGCTGTGTGTGTGGGGTGGGGGTGGGGGACGGGGACAGGAGTCAATGGTGGGCGGAACAGGGAACAGTGGGCGGAAAGGAGAGTTAGAAAGAAGGCTGTGGTCCTGCTTTCTGTCTTGGTCCTCTGTGGGTGGAGTGTACTCTGGGTGTTGCAGACTATTCCCCTGCTTGTGAACAGCCAGCCAGCCCCAGAGGCCTGCTGGTTCCTTAGGCTTCTGCTGGCCCCAGAACCCCACCAGAGAGGAACTCACATCCTCTCAGCTCTGCCAAAACTCCATGATACTGTATTACTTCCCCATCAGGGTCAAAAGCCCAGCAAATAGATGTGTGTGTGTCTCCTGGAGGACCCCCCGCATTGACTTTAACCGTCCCCATCCAGCAGCTCCTCCACACTTCCTTCTCAGATGAGGTGCTATGTCCAGATGGCGGTGGCCAAGGCTCTCACACTGCCAGGAATGTGGCAGGGTCCCACCTCCAGTGGGGTAAAGCTGGAGACAGCCAGGCACCATGGTGAAAAGCTATGTCTGGGCTATAGTTTTGATACCGGATACCTCCTTCCTGCATGGTGTCGACTCCCTGGAACCTCAGCTTCCTCCTCTGTAAAATGGGGCGGCTATCAATTCCTTCTTGTCATGAAACTGCAGCCATGTATGAAGAGCACCTGGCAGTTACGGCCCAGGGTAACTCCTAATTTAAGTAATCTGTGCTAGATCTGCTACTTCTGGAAGCCCCCCCCCCCATTTCCTCCGTGTGTTCCACCTCTCTCTGCCCTTACCACAGCTCCATGGTACATTAGAGAAGTCTAGAAGCTTGTCCACACAGTCTGATTCCAAAATTTTGTTTACACGGTGTCCTTGTCCTGAACATCTACAGTCAATAAGCCAAGGCTTCTACCCTAGCAACTGAGCTGGGATTGGCAGAGGTCCACACAGAAGGTGGTCATGGGACCTGGCACTACCTCCTGGGTCTGCTCCTTGGCATGAAGGCTGAAGGAAAATCCCTGCCTCAGCCCCCGTCTTTCCCTGAAGCCGTGCCCAGCACATGGTCCTACGAAAGCTCCCCGATGTGTCAGTGGTGGTGGTTGGGGTCTAGAAGGCCTCTGGGTACTTGGAAGAAAGCTCACAGCGTGACAGACAGCTAGAGGGTAGCTTGAGGTGTTCTTGAAGAGAGCCAGATAACTCTTACTAGAGTAAGGGAGAGTTCTTATAATGATTGGGCAGGCTCCCCCCATGAGGTTGTACTGAGGTTGGGCCCGCCTTCTTCATGACTGTTCCACTTCACCTGAGGCAGTTCACCTGCAAAGCCCTCAATCTGGTAAACTCTAGGTAGCATCTTATCCCATCCTGTGTCTACCTTCCGTCCTGTCTGGGTGAGGTCTCTGTGCCTCCTTTGTACCCTGGACAACTTACTAGTAGTAATGGTTTCCTGAGGTGTTACCCTAAATATGCCCCACTTTTGTACCTTGCTACCAACTCCATGACCACAGTCCCATGTCGGTGTGTATTCCTCTCTGCTAGATTAATCTTCCAAAATCACTTTTTTTGAGAATCTGTTACTCCCTGGCTCCACAGATCTTAGTTCCATATTGTCTCCATAAATTCTGGGCTGTCCTGGGGCTGTGCCCACGAAGTATCTGGGGTTGTACTTGGAAAGTGCAGATGCCTCAGTGTCCCAGAGAGATTATTATTATTACTGTTTTTTTTTTTTTTTTTTTGAGAGACAGGGTTTTTCTTTCTGTAGCCTTGACTGTCCTGGAACTTGCTCTGTAGACCAGACTTACCCAGACTTACAGAGATCCGCCTGCCTCTGCCTCCCAAGCACTGGGATTAAAGGTGTGCGCCACCACCGCCCCAGTGTGATTCTTTAGGGTATTCAGATCTATTCCCTGGGAAGGGACCACTAACCTTTGGCAGTTGTATGTGATGTTGAATATAAAACGCTGGGCATGGACCTTAGTCCCAGCATTCTACGCTCTCACAGGAGTGTTGAGGCAGGTCCATTCCTTACAGAGAGATGGTGGGGTTTTGCTTGGTTTGACACTGTACCACAAAGAATGACATTACCATGTCATTCTGCCTTTTCTGCTCAGGGGCCTGCTTCCAATTACTCCCACGTGCGGAAACTCTGGTAGTAGATGGGAAGCAACACCTAAGCCCCTGGGACTGGCCTGCCTGGAACATCTGACCTGGCCCAGGAAATCACAGCCTGCTGGGTTAAGCCTGGACTGGTCCCTTGCTCTGGCTCACACAGGCTTCTCTCTTTGCTCAAGGCCTTTCTGCCACCCCTCCTCCCCCACATGTATGAAGAGTGAGGTCCCAGGAGCTCTTTCTCAGACGGAGGGACAGGTAAATTATTACATCCCAGGAGTGTCTGCCGCCATGCCGGGGTGTCATGCATTGAGCCTTAACTGCCTGTTCTTCCCAGCCTCAATGCTAGGCAGCCATGCAGAAACACCAGGGCAGCTGGGAGTTCCCTCCTACTTCAGGTCAGACAAAGCACTTCCTTAGAATGGAAACTCCAAATCCTGTTTAGGAGAGCCTCACTGTAAACATCAACTTAGAATGCAAGGCGACCAACAGTACCAGGGTGAGTACCATGGGTAGGAGCCTGGCAGAAAGGAAGTCTGATGAGAGGCGAACTCAAGGCTCTGGGATCACTTCAAGTTCCAAGGTGGTCCTGGTCCTCTAAGCTCCTCCCCTCCCCCAACAAAAACAGGCCAGGCTTGGAGGGGGAAGAAGTTGGGTCCTTACCTTACTGTGGAGGGAGGGTGATAATGAAGGCAGCTCTGCAGAGCCAGCAGGAGTCTGGCTGGGCAGGAATGCAGAGGAAATTCACCCAGCACTTGATTTTTATTTTTCCCAGCTGGCTGAAGTGGAGCAGGGATGGGAAGTGTCTAGGAGTGGGTTGTGCTGGATCCCCAGCTGCTTTATCCTCCCTATTCCGCCAGCTCCAGCTTGCTCTGGGACAAGTAAATATACCCCTCCCATCCTAGCAAGTGTTTGGCTGACTCACTACATAAACAGGGTGTTGGGTTTTCTTTGTCTTGGCTTTGTTTTGGATGTAAGCCCTCCTGCTCTACAGCCCTCTGCAAATCTTAGGGATGCTTAGGTCCAAAAGTACTTCCCAGCCACAGAGGACAGTCAGGGGGTGAGAGAGTGTGATCAGGTCATCTGGGATTTTGCTCAATGAGCCAGAGGGCACCTCTATTTTCAGTTCGAGGAACTGAAGTTCAGAAACACGCAGTCATATTTCCAAGTTTGCACTGCAAAATAGCTTTGTACCTTTTGCCTGCTCACAGGCAGACTTAGGTTTCACTAGGGAAAAAAGGTGGAGTAACATCAAGAGAAGTCACTGCCGCTGCATCCACTGTGAGCAGTTTCCCTCTAGGCCACTAACCTCTCCCCAACCATAAAATGATTTCATTGCTTCTTCATAATTGTTATGACGCATAAGTATCTGATATCCAGAATATGTGACCCCAGTGAAAGGGTCATTTGACTTCAGAGGGGTTGAGACCCACAGGTTGAAAAACACTGCTCTAGACCCATCTTTATCAGGTCATTTCTAGAGCCTTAAGAGATTCTTGATCTGTTCTTGCTCCCTCTATGTTCTGGATCTAATACCTGAATTCTTGTGGTATTGTGGTAGCATGGTAGCATCCATTGGGCACCTACTAGGTGTGATGTAAACATTCTGCATATTCTCACTGAATCTAGAAATCATCAACAGTAGGGAGTGGGCACAATCCTCCCTCCCCATGCTTGTAGGGGAAGGAAAGATGGTGACTGTCTTTAATCCCGCAGCTGGGGAGGCAGATGCAGAAGGATCTCTGAGAGTTTGAGGCCAGCCAGAGTTTTGTTTTGTTTTGTTTTGTTTTTCTAGACAGGGTTTCTCTGTGTAACAACCTGGGCTGTCCTGGAACTTGCTTTGTAAACTAGGCTGGTCTCGAATTTACAGAGATCTGCCTGCCTCTACCTCCTTGCAAAACCAGAATTACATAGTGAGACTGTGGAAGGAAGAACGGCAGAAAGGCAGGAGGCAGGCAGGCAGGAAGGAAGGAAGGATGGGGAGAGGGAGGGAGTAAGGGAGGGAAAGAAGGAGAGAGGCTAAGAGGTAAAAGCATCAGCGACAGGTGAACACAGTATGTGAGTTCAGGTCTCAGAGGTCAAGTGGCCAGTCTTTTTCACTGAGGAAAGAACTCTTGAGTTCCCAGCCTCTCCTGAAAGTCTTGGTTTAAGGCCCACTGCAAGCCCAAGAGTACCTGGATAACTGCCCACGCGTGGGTCTACATCCACATGGGCAGTCTCCGCATGGAAACTCAACCAGTTGCTCATACTGACTTTTCCCTGCCAGCTCCAGAGTACCTGGGACTTCCCAACTTGATCCTGGATTTGAGGCCCTATCTCTGAACATTACAAGGTCCACAGTGCCTCTTTCTCAGGCTCCAGGACCCAAGTACCCTATCATTACCAATGCTTCTTCCCGCACATGTTCCCTTTTTAAGGCTTTTGATTCCAACAAAGTCCAGCCAAGTACCAAGTCTGATCTGCCTTTCCTAGTCCTCATCTCCCCACTGAAGGCACCCTCCTCGGCCATAGCGCCCCCTCGCGCCGGTCATCGCCGAGCTGTGCCAGGTTGCAGCAGCGCACGTACCTTACTGTCGGGCCGCACCGGATCAGCCCGAAGCAAAAGTAGCAGTAGCAGCAGCAGCAGCAGCCTCAACTGAAGGCACCAAGGCCGGTGGGCTGCCGCTGCCATGGCTCGACAGGAACGGACGTCTCCACGAGCACGATTGGGATCGCCGGCAGCACGGCGAGCTCGACGCTGCAGCCCGGCTTTGCCGCGGGGCGCCCCCCAGCCCGGTGCCCCTGCAGTGCCGCTGGGGGCGGAGCTAGTGTGGAGGGGTGCCCGCTCCTCCCCTCCCATCCCCGCCCATCCCCTGCGGTCCTGAGGCTTTGAGAAATGCCGGTGTGTGAGAGACAGAGCTGCAGCCAGGCCGAAAGAGAAGTACGGGCTCGCGACGAACTGAGGTTCGGTTTTGTGAAATGAAGGACCCTAGACGTGTCCCTTTGCCTTTTTGAGTACCAATTTCCCCATTGATAAAAAGGAGAAAATAGTCGGGCGGTGCTAGGGCACGCCTTTAATCCCAACACTCGGGAGGCAAGATCAGGAGGATCTCTGAGTTCGAGGTCAGCCTGGTCCACAAAATGAGTTCCAGGACAGCCAGGGGTCCACACAGAAACCCTGTCCCGAAAAACAAAAACAAAACAAAAAGGTGGTGATGGGGGAATAGTCAAATTGCCCTTTGGGAATGGCTACAAAGTTCGAGTGGTACTTAGGGTTTACCCTTGCTCTGACAAAACTCTCCAGTCTCTGAGCCCCTGCTCTTTCACATCTTCCATCTTTCTTCTCTCTGTTGTGCCAATAACAGCTACTTTTTGTTTGTTTCTAGACAGGGTTTCTCTGTGTAGCTTTGGAGCCTGTCGTGGAACTCGTTCTGTAGACCTGGCTGGCCTCGAACTCACAGAGATCCACCTGCCTCTGTCTCCCTGGGATTAACGGCTTGCACCACCATCCCCTGGCCTGATTGACTCTTGAAGGTTTGTCCTGCTAGAGCAAGGCCACCAGAGGAACTCTGCCCCCTTCTGGACAACCAATGGCATCCTTCTACAGTCATCTCTGTCACCATGGATAACCCACAGCTCAAACGTACCAAGTTCCTGATTGGCTTTGGGATCTCGGTTTGAGCTGGGTCTCCTGCAGACTCCCCCTCATCCTCAGAGGGCTTCCTTTCCATTTCTCCTGTATTCCCTATAAATGCCGAGAGCCCTTTAAATCTGCCTTACACAGGCTGTCTCCTCAGCTGGAAACTCAGAGAGGGAACTCACTTTTCAGGGTTGTGGGGAAAATGTAAAAAAAAAAAAAATGAGAAATAAGGCCCAGTGTGGGTGCTGGACTCTTAGTGGATGCCTATTAGCAAATATCTACTGTATGCTACTCAGTAGCAGAAGAGATAATGGTGAGAGAGTACTAGGACTGACTGGTAAGGGTATTTGGGAGGCTTTGGGAAGGAGGAAGCCTGGAGCTGAACAGGAGGAAGAGCTGTTTCCAGGAGGTGTGCATGTGACTGAACTCAGCGTTGGGTTGACTTCATCTTTATCTACCTTTCAATCCTCAGGCATCAGATGTCTGCCCAGCCACTTGGCATTCCAGAGAAGGGGCCTTTAATGCAGAGAAAGACTGGCTCTGGGAAGACCATGTGATCCTGACACATGGTGAAATGCTGAGCTGAAGAAGGATTTCTTCCTAAGGGCTTCCTGCCAAGTACAGTGCCCAGCCCTTGGGGAGCTCAGAAAGTGGCGAGGAAGACCATTTCTTAAAGAACATAGAGGGACCTAGTTGTCCCTCGATCGGAGGTATTAAGGAAGGATTGGAACAGGATCTAAAAAGATGAGTTAAGAGTTTATAGTGGTCAGGCCAAAGGCAGTGCAGCTTCTTCTTTCTTTTATGTTTTGTTTTTTTTTTTTTTTTAAAGACAGAGTTTCTTTGTGTAGCCTTGGTTGTCCTGAAACTAGCTCTGTAGACCAGGCTGGCCTCGAACTCAAAGAAATCCGCTTGTCTTTGTCTCGCAAATGCTGGGATTAAAGGTTTGTGTCAAAACTGCCCTGTGGCATTTCAGCTTTCTGACCCACCAAGTACATAATGGCAATCACTTCTGGGCCATACCATTTGCATATGAAAGCAACAATATCAAGGACACCTCATTGAGCAGGTGGAGGAGGTTTAGACAGCATATAATTTGTGTAAGTCTCTCCTAACAGCAGCTGGCATGGATTAAGCATAAAACCCAGGTTAGCTACTATTGGTAATGGACAGCTGTTGGAAAATGCAGGTAGATGTGGCAAAGTCTCCTGAGTAAGTAAAGAGGTGTGAATGGGCTGGAATCAATCGGAACAGGCTAGATTGCATATGTCAGGATAAAGACTTTTAAACAATTAGTAAGGACTGACACACAGGAACCGGAGGACTGCCGAGGCAGATGGGGCAGTGAGGTGACAGAGTGAAGACGCTTCGACATGACCTAGCAGAGAACCAGCAAGTAAAGCACTAGGGTTCTTTGTCTTCCAGTGGGTCAGATAGCGCTTACGTCCTGGGCTGTAGCCTACTACAGCAGTGGTTTCCTAAGGGAGGTGGGGGGCGTCATGGAAAGCAGTCCCCACAGCTCGTCTTGAAGCCCGTGGCCGCGCGCCACCTTGTGGTTGTGGGAGTTGTGCCAAGGTGGAGGAAGGGGAGAAAATCCAAGATTTTGTTTGGTAGAAACTTCGATAAACGGAGGCGACGTGTGTGAAACTTCGGTAAATGGAGGCGACATGTGTATGAGTGTGTGCGTTAGCATCTTACCATTGGACATGATGCAACGGAAGGCGACGTGTGTGTGGGTGTGTTAGCATCTTATCATTTGACAGGGTTCTTATTTTTCAGACAAGTAAACTGAGCAGAGATGTGACGAACAGGCCGGAAAAAGAGGATCAGCTCTTTAGGATACCCGTAGTCAAGAGTTTCAAGTTTTCTTTGACGGCATCAAAGACCCTGATCTTAGTTTGTCCATCTGTTCTATGGGCAGGGTGCGGGGGGAGGGGGGGGAGGAAGAGAAACTTTAGTCTTTCCCGCCCATCCGGAGGTTAGAGGCTTTAAACACTTCTCCGGAAAGCAGAGCTGTATAGATTCTATTTGCATACGAACGCAGTCACCTCTGGTTAAACTCGGGTCCTTTAATCTCTGGTCCAATTTGTCGTGCAGCCCGGGTGGAAAGCCCTCCTGAGTACCACACACCCCGCCCCCTGGCGCCTTCCCCACAGGGCTGGGCTTGGTTGCACGTGCTCAGCGGGCTCCTGGTGGACCCGCCTCCTTGGAACGAGTCATTATTAGCGCGGGGAAGGAGTCGAAATTACAAGGAACTGTGAATACGGACAAGTCACAACAGAGAGAGGACCATGGCTAACTATTTATGGTCATTCTATATGGGAAGTTTTATTAGAGTTTAGAATAATATGTTTTGGTTCTCCCTCCTCAGGACTGCCTCTTCTCTTACCTCACCCCCTCAATTGGTAGAGTCCCTTGTGACCAGCCTCGCCTGGAGGACTACAATTCCTAGTATGTCCCGCGGGCACGTGCGTGGCAGCAGCGCGTGACGTCAGAGGAGGGAGCTGACCAGTGCTGAGGGGGCGCGGCGCGGAGGGGCGCGGAACCGGGAGGCTCGGGGCCCAG